AGTGCAGTTAGAAAATTGAAGCCAAAATTTACCATACCTAAAGGAATACTGCCACACTTTTCTATTATATGGCACGTGGAGCTCAATAGAATCTTGTCTAAGTCTAGTTGACAGCCAAACATAGTCTAATTTGATCGAATTTGTCTAAAATGAGATGTGGTAAAGTGTGGCTAGCAACAAAAGAACTCCAGAAGAAGACCATACTCTGAAGAAACGATGTGATTAATTATTAAAGATGACCATATTCTTCAGGAAACGATGTGGTCGACTTTATCATGTCACCACAAGCACTAGAATAGTAGAATAGTATTGTTAAATCTTGAAATAAATTCCAAAAAAAAATACAAGCAACCGCATTATGTTGAGGATTTGCACCCAAGTGAACAAGTTTGACCACAATATAATGAACCAAAACAGATAAACTATACTAGGTTCGTATTCTGTAAGAATTTAGAAATCCCAATAAAGACCAAGAACGCGTGTTGTTGTTTCGCTAGCCACACTTACAATTACTATTCCACATGGTCTTTGGACCAGAGTTTGATCCAAACGCAACAGACGTGATTGATACTGAATAGTTTGTCTTGGAAAAAGAAAATCTACGACCAAACAGGCGATAGAGTGAGGGTAGAAAGATACCGCGTCTCCCTGCCTGCAAAATTCTTGATGACGCGGTGAAACCGTGAAAGCAACAGCTTGCACACAGGCAGGCAGGCAGGAATCCTATCCTGAATAAAACAAGGTAAAACAGGGACTTTCTCACTACTACACACATAGTATTGAACAATTGTTCTCTCCAAGGAGGCATAATCCAACATTTAGATTTAGTTACCAAAAATGGGAAGACGTGTTACACACTAGCACAGATCGAGCGGGCAAATTTGTCACTCATATTGATTATTGAAGATGAAGGCATGATCCAGATATAAATGATACGCAACCTGCCGGATCTATCTCCTCTAGTCTAGTCGTAAGGCTCTGTTCGGATCTCATGATAAAACTTTAGCTCTCTTTTTTATAGGGATTAAACAGGGGGTAAAAGTGAGCAAATGACTAAAAACTGAACTAAAATCTTTTGCTTCTAAAGAGGCTCTAAACTGGGCAAAACTCCCTCGGGGCGGACGTTGAACGTCCCATACCCCTTGCCGCTCGCATGCATGGTTGTGCATGGATAATTAAATGAGGAGAAATCAGTCATTATAGATTAGAGGACTAAAGTTTAACCCATAGATCTAAACAGTCCAGCAGGATTAAAGTTTAGGAGCTAAACTGTAGTTATTGGACTAGTGATCCAAACACCACCTAAGTTAATTTGCCCCGGTATTAGCAGCATCCTTTCCACAACTATCAATTTTTAGATTGGGTCTACGGGCTACCGGTGCGGTCAACCGGTGATATATTTTGACCGTTAAGCTCAATAATACTTTTTTTTTGCGAATGTTAAGCACAATAATGCAGTTGGAAGAATAATGTAATTTGATCTGTATATATACGAAAGTAACATACGTCCATTCTGGAAATTCAGGTTTCTCATGAGCTATGTCGTATCATGAGGTGTTCATGTGCTCTTTGACAATACTCCCTCTATTTTGAATATATAACTATCAATTAGAGGACACGATAATTAATTTAAAATAAATTAGTTAGCCCATCCTAAATGTATGTTGCATTAAAGGGAGTGCAAGTTTACATGTTTGTTTACTGTATAAAGACACATGCATTGTTAAACTAGTAGGAAAATTACAAAGAAATCCTCAAAAGAGGGCCAAATTACATTTGCGTCCCTGAAGGGAGTCAGGACATGAAGGAAACCCATGTGTCGCACCGATGGCGAGGCGTAGGAACATATGTCGAGGACTTTGTTCACAATAATACCAAACCTCACTTTGTATATCTCTTATATATACTCTATGTACTACACTACTCATGCTGCCGAGACGACGACCAAGCGCCAAAGCACAGCACTGTTAATTTCCCCGGGAATTACCGCAGTTAAAATAATGGCCGGTCGCGGCTCGGAATAACCGTACCCGGCGCACGGTCCGGTCCGGTCGTCCGGGCCCCTCTCCGTCCCAGTGCTGGCTCTCGTCGTCGCCTCCTGGCTGCACGCATCGATCGATCAGCAGAGTCCGCCCCCCACGCGTACGTACGTACGGCGGACGACGCCCAGTCGCCGGGCAGCAACATGGAGGGGCCCGGCCCGGGCCGGGCAACCCCGCGCGCGCGTCAGCTTCGGTGGCTGTTGGCGCCCCTCGCGGTACGCCGATCGATCGAGCCGGTCACCGGCGTACGACACGTCGTTCCCGGCCCGTAGCACCCGGCGATGAATGCGGCCAGCCCCACCACGCACTCTGAACGAGTCTCACGCATGCATGAATATGATCGCGCGGTACGTACGTACTCTTTTTCCATCTCCTTGACACCACCGGCCCCCGGCCGATCGACCGCTCGCTCGCGCCTCGCGCTCCGTGCTCCGCCCGGTCTCCACGCCGGCCGCGCTCGGCGCTCGCACGGGACGGGGACCGCCCCCGGTACGATTGGGGCTGGGGAGCGCTCCTCCCGTGGCTTGTCCGTGCGAGGACCGCTGCAAATGCTGCGTTGCGCTTGCGCCCTCGTGGGCGGCCATGCGGTGCCGTGGCTAGGTTAATTCCTTTTCCTAGGCAAGGGCCACGGTGGAATGAAATGAAACACGACTGCGCGCGGCGCCCACCGGCCCCGCTGGCTACAAACCATATGACAAAACCAAGTCGCTCTAAACTAGCAGAGCGTAGGCTTACATGTTGGAACCAGTCGCAAGACCTGTCTGTGTCTAGCTAGTTACTAGAAGCTGTTGCTGTATACACTTGCTTGTAACGTACCACACCTGCTACAAAATTCAATCCAGTTATTATTTTTTCTCGAGTACGCAAAAGATTTGCGCATCATTGTATCAAATAGAAGAGTTTAAACATACAGACAACACGCTGCTATCAAACGCTGAAGGAGATCGACCTAAAACAGCCGTAGCTGGACCATCATAACAAAATACCTCTAGTTTCGATATTACATAAATAAAAAACAATTAAAACCAACGCAACGGTGTGACCTAGGAGATAGCCTTGCGTCTTCGCGGCTATTATAGAACCAGAGAAGTTGAAGGTGCGTGCAGTGGGCCAAATACTAGGTAAGCACGTGATTATTTTCACGTACCTACGTGCGTATGATTTGTGGTGAATGAACCAGGAGTAAATTTCATGAGACTTTAAAACCCATCATGACAAATACCACGATACAAAACATTTACGGAAATGCTAAATAACATCCGTGTGTTTTAGCTCCGGAGCACACACGATTTTTTTTAGTGGAACCGCCCGTCAGCCGGCGCACGCGCCGCTGTCGCGCCAGCGCCAGCGCCCACGCCCACGCACCCGCCTGTCCCCAGCCCTACCCGCCGCCGCTGCGTCCGGCATCGGAAACCAACTCCAGCGAGCTTCTTCTTTCCCAACTCCGGCAACACCCTAAATTTTGTCTCAGTCATTTCATAGAAAAAATTGTTACTTATGATGTCTGATTTGTTACCCGTGATCTGTTATTTGTGCCCAGAAGGAAGATGAACGGTAACATGAGACGGGAGGAAGATGAACAGTAACCATGTGGAAAAATTTTGGGTGTAGCCGGGTGTGATACACGGTTGTTAGGTAGACAGACTCAACATTTAATCATTTGTATATATTTCGTAGACCCTTTTTAAAGTACCTAGTATTTCGTAGAGACTCGTATGTTCGGGGGAGTGTAGAGACAGACGGACGCGTGAGAGAGGGACGGACTGAGAAGACAGAGGAAGAAATTTTATCCTCTTAATATTAAAAAAATTGTAAGTATGCTTGTGCACTTTCATGTGTAACATGATGTACAATTTGTTACACGGTGTTTATGTCAATAATAATGTGTTAACCATTTTTTATTAGATTTAATTAGTCTTAGTCAAACATTAAATCCAATAAATTTCAAGGCTCATAATAAATACTAGTACAATAGAAGGATTAATTTATATGAGAAATTGACACGATTGACTCAACTTAAATAGTTGGACATTACGTGTGTACGATGTGAGTTTAAGAAAGGTGGAAGATGGACCACAGGCTCAGGCAGCCAAGCTATGACATTAGTTGTGCGGCATCAACAAAGACTTTGCAGCTCCGAACTTAGGGCGGAAAGGACGAGAGTGAGGAATGGTGGGTCGAGAGACGGAACATGAGTAAGGGATGGGGGACGGGAGAAAGAAATTTACCGTTTTTTAATATTAGATAGATGCAAATCGAATAAGAGTGAGGGAACATGGGGAAAGGATATTTCCGGTTTTTGAAAACGTGTCCGTGCCTTACAAAGAGGCGCACAACATGTTGCGGGGTTACTTGCGTCTCAAAGATTGATTTGTCAGTCACATCATGCGTTCCTACTTTTCTTAGAATCGAACTCTGTACCATGTCTTTACGTGTGCTGATCTTTAGATACACTATTTTAGCTTGTATAGGCACGAGAGAGATTGAGTTCGTGTAATCTTATGCGGAGGTTGTGAGCAACAACAGAGAAAGGAAACTTTCTCCTTTTAATAGAAAGTAGTAGTGGGGGAGAAAGAATAATGTTGGTTTAATTTTCCTTTCGATCGAGGGCTCGGCTTTCAACTGTTTCTACGCTTCTAGTCCAGGAGATCTACATCCCACATCTCTCTAATAGGGATATATACATCAGCACTCAGCCATATACCGATGTACATGCGCAAGTGTATGCATACGTGATACATGTACGTACACGTACCAGCCGTGGTACGGGGCCCACATGTGCGTCGTCCTGCCTCCACACACATGGCACCCGTCTTTATATCCCTTTCAACATTTTTCTAGCCCACTACTTCTCCAATCTTCCACTCATATGGAGCCTCATGTTGAGAGCCTAGGAAGGTAGCACAGCTCCAGGCCTCTGCAGAGCTCCGATCCACCCTCGCCAGCTCTCGACCGCGTATGCCCGACTCCTCCTTCGCCGGCACAGGCATGGCCCCCTCGAGCTCGGCGGCGGCGTCCATGGCCGCGCTCGCGGCGTCTGGCGACGGCTCGGACGACTCCGGGGCGGCCAACAACGGCGCGCCGCCGCCGCCGCACGGGGTGGAGGACAACAACCCCGCGGAGCTGGCGGCCGTGGGTGGTGCCTCCAGCAGCTCCTCTCGGGCGGCGGCGAGGAGGGTCGCGGCGGCGGCTGGCGCCTCCGGCTCCTCCCCGGTGGCGTCGGCGAGGAGCAGGGGCGCCGGCGCCGCGGTGGCCGCCGCGGCGGGCGGCGGCGGCGGTGTCGGGCCGAGCTGCCAGGTGGAGCGGTGCAACGCCGACATGGGCGTGGAGAAGCGGTACAACCGGAGGCACAAGGTGTGCGACGCGCACCGCAAGGCGTCCGTCGTCCTCCTCGCCGGCCTCCGCCAGCGCTTCTGCCAGCAATGCAGCCGGTAAGCCCCGCCTCTGCTCGCGGCACATGGGTCATGGGTGCAGTGATGCCGTCCGGCGTGCGTGACATGCTCAAAAGCACCGTCCACTTTCAGCTCGTACGAGTACTAAATTAGATGAGCTTAATTCAATCTTAAAAATAACTTAGTGCATGCCTCAAGTGCGTTGGATCTCTTGAGAAAGTTTGCAGCTTTTTCGTGGATCATGGATAGCATGATGAGCTGTTGGATCCTAGGTTCCTTTCAACTCAAGATCTTGCAGCAGCCTCTCATGCAACTGCTTCTTTGCCTCTTTGCAAGTTTAACCGTACTCCTCTGTTCGTGTTTGGATACCTCTTCCTGTTTTGGTTACTCCGATCCATGTCGCAGTCCACAAGGCACGAGCTCTCTGCCTCACTCACGACTCTTGATCCCCATCTGCTTGCAGGTTCCACGAGCTGTCGCACTTTGATGACACCAAGCGGAGCTGCCGCCTGCGCCTGGCCGGGCACAACGAGCGGCGCCGGAGGAACCCGGCGGAGGCGCACGACCAGAACGGCGGCCGGGGCGACCCGGGGAATCTCCACCTCCACATCAGATAAACCTATCTAAGCACGCTCGCTCTCTTCTGTCATGCAGGATGCACCTAGCATCACCGATCGATAATCCGATATGTGTCTCAGTGTGTGTCTGCGCGCCGCCTAGCCTGTCCTGTGTCTGTGTTGCGTATGGTACGTACTGCTAATTAATTGGCAGTGCACAGCACATGACCTCCTGTAAGCAATGTGCTTTGTATGTGCACCGACCGGAGGTGCTGCCACGAAACCTAGTTAATTGTGCTGATTGTGTAACGTAACCTGCAGGCAATTAAGCAGGGCACTGTTTGTTAGCGTGATTAATTGTGCGTATGAGTATGGATCGATTATCGGATGTGTAATCCGGCCTGTGGCCTGTGCTAAACAGTGATCTGTGCAGGCTCTGTATCGATGTTGTACTCTGATGATATAATGCATTGTGGTAATATATGCTATTTAATATTTACTCGAGTAGTAATATAATGTGAATTGGATGTACTGTTTCTAACATGTGATTCATATGTGCATGTTTTATTTTTGGAAGCTGCTCCTATTTTGAATTGTCTATTTAATTCGGATGTAATATTTTCAATTTTTCCCCAATACGGACACACCATCTATGACTAAATAAATAGTGATGTTTCTTTTCGGAATAAATAAATTTATAAAAATGCACGCACCGAGTGTCCAAATTGGAGTCATATGAAAGAAACTTCATGCGTTCAAAAGTTGATAAAGTAACTCGAAAGGTTGCACTTGTATTATATTATTGTTACTCCCTTGTCATAAGCATGTATGTTACTATAGACATCAACTCCTTGAGTTGACGAATCTTCATGACATCTATGTCTTCATACCACAAAACGACATTATGATCGTTCACTAAGGAAGAAGTAGGTCTACGATGATGTTGATCCATAAGTAGAACTTCGTACTACGGGCTCATGGAACGTTGTCCTTCGCTGAAAGAGTCACTGTTATTGCACATATGTTTTCTTTATATAGGCAAAGTGAGGCTAATATAATAGATTCCTTTATTTGTATGCCTGATATTCACTTCAATTAGTTGCACACACTACTCAAAATGGCTTAATCGAGGCAGGCAAGCCATCCACCTCCATCCAAATGTCACGGTTAATCCAGCCTTAAGAGAGGTGGTTGGCCGCCTGCTTCGGTTAATCAAATAAAAAAACCCGTGGACAAGCCCAGTGAGCCCACCCATGGGCCCGTCGAGCCTGTCCACGGACCGTCACCGCCAGGATCTGCAGCCAAAGCCGCGCACACAGCCGGGATCCGGCCTTCGGCCGCCTAATCTGCGCCTGCATGCTCCCTGCCGCCGGGATCCGGCCTCCGATTGTCGGATCTGGACCTGCACGTTCCTCGCCGCCAGATCCAGGCGCTCCTCGCCCAGATCCACGCCGCCGGAGGAGCTTGAGGGAGAGGGAGGAGCTCATCGCCCAATTCCATGCCGACGGAGGAGCTTGAGGGAGAGGGAGGACTCCTCGCCCAGATCCACACCGCCGGATGTGCTTGAGGGAGAGGGAGGATCTCCTCGCCTAGATCCGTCGGAGCTTGAGGGAGAGGGAGAAGCAGCAGCAGCAGCAGCTTGAGGGAGAGGTAGGAGCCACGCCGTGTAGCTTGAGGGAGAGGGAGGAGCCACCGCCGCAACTTGAGGGAGAGGGAGGAGCCACCTCTGTCGCCGTAGCTTGAGGGAGGGAGCCGCCGCCGCCGTAGTAGCACGGGCTTGGGAGTCGCCGCTATGGGGGCAGAGGGAGAGGAGAGGAGGGGCGCCGTGGCGGAGAGCGCGTCGCTATGGGGGAGAGGGAGAGCAGTCTCGCCTAGATCCACGCCGCCTCTGCTGTGGTGGAGGGAAGAGGTGAGGGAGAAGAAATGAGGGAGAGAGGGGGGCCGGTGGGAGAGGGAGAGGTTGAGGGAGGGAGGGAGAGAGGCGAGCGGGTGAGGGAGAGGAGAGCGAACGGCCGGGTGAGGGAGAGGAGATGGGCTTAGGGTTTCATTCTCGTATATATACTGTGACCTTGGTGTCGAGCCAAGATGGACGGGGAGTGGGCTCGGCCACATTGAAGGAGGGCCCGCCTCTGAAAATGGAGGTATTTTTTAAGGCAAGGCCCGCCTCCGTGTAGATTTTAGGTTTAACCGCCTCGATAAAATCGATTTTGTGAGGTGGTTAATTGTGACTGCGTTGGTTAATAAAAATAACCGTCTCGGTTAAACCTAGGCATTAACCGAGTCGGTTCAAATGCCTGCCTGCCTCCGAGGCTATTTTCCAAACGCCTCGCATAAGTTTTTATGTAGTAGTGACATGTATGCGTGATTAATTCGTATATCTATCAAGTTGGTCCAAAGGTAAGTGGTCACTATTTGTGGAACAAATTTAAACGCTAGAATGTCAATCTTTGTAGGTGAGAGGTGGTAAACCATTTTTTAAAATAACTATAGAGATTTTCTTCAGAAGGAAAATATTATGCATGAATATTTAGACTACATAGATGACATAAACATATACTATATGCTCCTTGAGGAATTCTATTAGATGGTGACAGCGGCAAATCTTAATGAAAATGTTGCTAGAAGGGTTTAGAAACTAACTACCAAAAAAATCTTTCAATGCTCATGCACATAAGACCATAAATTTTATGTAGCCATTAATTGCACAATAGGAAGAAAAAAGCATGCCAACAAACATTTGTTTCACAGCATGTATACATGCACACATGTATTGTGCTGAGATGATTTGGTTGGATGAATAATTAGGCACAAAGGGCAAGAAAGGTGCTAATTTCACTAATATTGTCGGTGCAGAAAGTGACCAACACATAAATATTTATAATTTTGCTGTACGTTGTGATCGGATGTGGCCTAGCACTCAATGACACATGGTTTATACTGGTTCAGGCAACGTGCCCTACGTCCAGTTTGAGTTGGTCGATGACTTTATTCCTGAGCCCAGGTGCTCGAAGTTTGCTGTGGGATTACAAACGGAATGGAGAAAGATGGGGGTACAAGAGAGTGAAGGGCCGAGAGTGACGAGAGCTCCGCTATGTGCTAAGTGTTCGAGCGTACGCTCTGTGTAGCTTTAGAGTGTCTAAGGCTACAAAGGATAAATCGATGTAAGTGAACGGAGGGGTCTATCTGTTGGGAGAGAGCGCATCCCCTTTTATAGATGAAGGGGATGGCCTTACAAGAGAGAGGGAGAGAGTGTACGTATGCAAAGTCTTGCTGCCCACGCCGTCGGGTACAAGATGATTGTAGGCGCCCATAACACTGTTAATGTCATATGCATGTGAAAGGTTGCGTCGTCTTCTTCTGATATGGCAGACGTCGGTGCCTGTCATACTATTGATGCCCAGAGGTACGTAGGGGGTTTTACCATGCTCGGCTAGTATGGTAAATGCCGGCGCCCGCAACACTGCTGATGCCTAGAGGCATGTGGGGGAGCCTTACCATGTTTGTCTGGTATGGAAGTCGATGGCGCCCACAACACTGTAGAGAAAATATCGGCGCCCACAATACTGCTTGAGTTCTGATATGCCAGGAAGGTTGCAAGGTACTATCCTGCAGGTGTACAGGGTACGGTCCTCGGTATTGCTGTTGACTTTGAGCGTCCTGCTTTACTTGCTCCGCCCGTTTCCTGGTCCTTACCGAGAGGGCATCCCCGGTCGGTTGGTCCCAGTCGGCTCCGACTGTGCTAGTTGGAGAGGAGCTGTAAGTAGAGGTTCGGTGTATCCCCGGTCGGAGACGTGGGTCGGAGTCAGAAGCGGTGTTTGGCCAAGCCTTCTGGTCGGAGAGGCGGGTCGGAGTCGGAAGCGAGCGTTGTTCCTCTTTGGTCAGGCCTTCCGGTCGGAGAATCGGGCCGGAGTCGGAAGCGGGCGTTTGTTCCGCCATAGCGAGGCCTTCCGGTCGGAGATTGGATCGCCCTTCTGGCCTGTCATTTAGGTATTTGGGCCAGCCCTAGAGTTGCGTGTCATTTGCAATGTTGTCTGCTGGGCCGAACCTTTGATGGGAAGCCGGTCCATGAGGGACCCCGGATTTATGAACCCGACAGGAGCCCCCGAGCCCCCGGGCGATTCGGGTAGAATCGTCTGGGGGATTTTTGTCTTGACGGCAGGTGCGCTCGAGCGCACCCATGGGTGTAGCCCACGAGCCTTCGGGCGATTTGGGTAGAATTGTCTGAGGGATTATTTGTGTTGCCGGTGGGAAGTTTGTTTTGTTTTCATCGTAAAAGTGCTGAAAGCACTCCACAAGTGTAGTTTCGAGCCGCCAGGCGATTCTGGCAGAATCGCCTAGGGGGTTTTTATCAGTGGGCATTTTTAGGGATCGGGCGAGACGGAGTCACGTATCCTGGCATCGGACAGGGGCCGAGGCGGTTTTAGGGATCGGGCGAGATAGAGTCGCGGATCCTAGCGTCGGCGCAACCGAGGCAGTTTGGGGATCGAGCGAGACGGAGTCACGGATCCTGGCGTCAGACGTGCCGAGGCAGTTTAGGGATCGGGCGAGACAGAGTCGCGGATCCTGGCGTCGGACGTGACGAGGCAGTTTAGGGATCGGGAGACATGGAGTTCGCGGATCCTAGCATCGGGCACGCCGAGGCTTTCTACGGGCGAGACGGAGTCGCGAATCCTAGCGTCGGACGGGGCCGAGGCGTTTAGGGTTCGGGCGAGATGGAGTCGCGGATCCTGGTGTCGAACGGGGCCAAGGCAGTTTTAGGGATTGGATGAGACAGAGTCGCGGATCCTAGCGTCAGGTATAGCCGAGGCAATTTAGGGATCGGGCGACACAGAGTTCGTGGATCCTGGCGTCGGGCGCGCCAAGGCTATCTAGGGATTGGGTGAGACGGAGTCGCCGATCCTAGCGTCGGACGGTGCCGAGGCATTTTTAGGGATTAGGCGAGAAGGAGTCACGGATCCTGGCGTCGGCATGGCCGAGGCGGGCGTAGCCGAGGTAGTTTTGGATGTCTTGAGCCCTCGAGCCCTGTTGGGCCTGGTAGGGGTCTATTGAGTTTTGTGCGT